CTTATTATTTTTGAGGTGCAGGAGGCGGTGAGCGTGGTCACTTCATGGCTGCTGCTGTGTTGCAATATTTTTGGGGAGGGCTTATATTAGCACATTCGCTCAAAAGCCCAATTAGGCTTATTATCTGGGGAGGTCTTATTTTCAGGGAAACAGGGTATTCCAGAGGGCAAGTGCTGGAACTTCTCTAAGCATTTCAACAATGAAAGGTAGAAAGAGAACAGTAGAGAAAACAAGTATCTAATGGAATGCGAAGGGATCAAAATTAATAGAGAACATAGACAAAAATGTACTGAGAACCTAGATTTTCAAGAAGGGACATAGTGTTTCAGAGCAAAAATCTTTGAGGGGGGGATCTCATTCACTGTTTTCAAAATTAATTGAAAGATGGGTACAAATTGAATTAGAGATGCTTCATTGGTATGACAGGCATTGCCTTCCTTTCAGAGTATAATATAATAAATATCATACATTGGGAAGAATGACTCGTGTCTGCAGTTGAAAATGTGTAAACTGATGGTAGGCATATTAATAACACATGCTTCTTTGCATTGGCAGAATATTAATGAGATAATAAAGTGTTACTGCAAAGCTGGAGAAGATATTCACGAAGCATCTCGGTTTCGAATAATTATTGTGACATGCAGCAGTGCAGGAATGTTTTACCAGATAGGAGTAAGGTACACTGGAAGCTTTTCTGACTATTCCAGGAAAAATAGAATATAAAAATATTAGCAACTTCTTATAGAGAAGGAAATTGAAAGCAAGAAGCTATTACCTGAACTAGGCAACAAACTGCCTCAGCAATAGCTGATAAATGGCTGGAGTTAGTCCAAGTGGGAAAAAATCCCAGTAAATGAAGAAGAGGAGTTTCAAGATTCATGTCATTAAAAATATTTAATAGGCATACCATATTTTTGGGACTATAAGACGTACAAGTATATAAGACACATCAAGATTTCGAAGAGATAAGTAATAAAAAACGGTTTTGCCTTCCCTCAGCTCCTAGCGGCACTCTCCAGGCTTCAGCAGGGCTGGGGCAAGGCAAAAACGCCCCTGTTTTTCGTCCGTTTTTCACAAAAACGGGGGCATTTTGTCCCAGCCCTGCTGAAGCCTGCTGAGGGCTGAGGGAAGGCAAAAAAAGCCTCAGTTTTTCGCAAAAATGGGATGCAGGGGCAGGGCTTCAGGAGGCCAAAAATGGCTGTATTTGGTATATAAGACGCACCAACATTTCCACGCTCTTGGGGGCGGGGAGAAGATGTGTCTTATACTCCAAAAAATATGGTATATTGCAAGTAAAAGTTCACAACCTCCAAGTAGAATTTATATAATTGCCACTGTGAGATTAAATGCAGATGTTTATCCATTCGTACTGTAGCTCAGTCATACATTTACATTAGGCCACAATATATCTGAATCTGAATATACGAAGACATTCTGAGAATCCCACAATCAAAATTGGATAATTACCACCCCTTGTTATTTTCACATTGAGGTTGCATAGAGGTATATGGCAACTAAAAATACTGTACTATGAACCTCAATGTTCTTGGAAACATAATAACTTGCAAACATCTTGCAAAAACCTTAACTGAAGGTAAATACTTTTGTTTTACCAATGTTACTTTACAATTTTCATTATTTTTTAGAGTGATGCCTGAGAATGCAGAGCATACGACAAGTAGTTCCAATTTTTATTCAATTTTTATTTAGGCTTGGACATTTCACACATGTATTTGTGGATGAAGCAGGGCAGGCAAGTGAACCAGAAGTCCTCATCCCTCTGGGATTGATTTCAGAAGTCACTGGGCAAGTACGTAAGTTTTCATTATGTCTTAATTGATTGTATCTAACTCTGTGTGGAGGTTGTTTGATGTTCTCCAAGGGGGGGAAATTCTGTTTATAGATACTGCTTGCATGCTGTTGATTTAATGTATCTAAAATATATAATACGAACCGTGCCCATTACTAGAAAAACAGCCATGCCTGTTTCAAACATTATTCACCCATATCTTGGTAATGGACTGCACTGTCACAAGTTCAGTTTTCATCCCATATCTCTTAAGTTTTATTTTAAAAGGTAGAGGGGAAACTCTTAATTGAGTATGGATGCCAGTGGTTGTTCATGGCCATATCATTTACTTGGTTTAGGGATAGTTTTATCTTTCATATCTGTTTCTTCTCTTCTTCTTCCCCTCTATCCAAGTTGCCCTTCATTATGTTTTTATCATCTTTTATCTATATGCAATCCAATCTTATAGCTCACACCAGTTTGCAACAATAAGTCAGTACACAAGAAAAACTATACAGTGGTCTGTCAAACAGGAGGAGTAAAATAAAAGCAGTAATCCTTATCCAGACACATTAATCATAGGCACCCATGAGTGTAGCTGCCATGGCTCTGAAAACCCCTTCAAAATAGCCTCCATTTTCATTGTTGTACAGAAATTCAAAGTCTAGAGAAGACTTGACATCAGAAAGAACCGTTTCATAAGGAAATGCCTGTTTCTGTAACAGACATCCACCAAACTAACCTATTACACACCAACAATAGGTAGCTTCTGCCACCAGATTAGCTCACCATGTAGGGTGGTTTTAACTGGAGAAGGCTATGCTGCAGGGCATGGGACCCAAACTATGTAGGTCTTTAAAGTTGAAAACTAAAACTCAAAATTACACTCAGAACCTCTTGGTGACCAGAACAGTACCGACAATCTACGTGCACTGTGACCAAAAGGCATTTTGCATTACTTGTGAGTTTTTGAGTAATATTCAGATGTGGCTCCACATAAAACACATTGCAAATGCAACACCCAATAAATGCATTAATCTCATATATTGTCATTCCATAGTCTCTTGCAGGATTTTAATGCACAATAACAGAAGATCACTGTCTACATTCTTCACTTTTTAAAAAGATGGCTATTAAAACAGAGCAAGAAGCATCTCCACAAAAGAAATACAATTAACAAATCTGTAGCAATTCAAATTAGACAGGAGAAGATCATCTCATTTCTTTAAAACCTCAAGAGTAGTTAATATCGAAATAATTGTAAATAGTTGAATGAAATGGCCATATCAATGGTGGGTTGTCATAATTTATGGGACATTAGTAAAATGAGTATTTGTCTAGTAGTTATTCAGTTAACTTAGGGACGAGGGCCTGGGATAATCTTAATTGCTGGGAAAGTTCACTTGGGGAAAAAGAAGATTTAGCTTATACCAAAATACAGGCCATTTAAAGCTTAAAGTTTATTTAATTAAAACTCCTTCATGTCATCATGAGGTGCTTGTGCTACTGAATCCTCAGCAAATCTTTTAATCATCTCAACTTCTAATGATGCAGGGAAATACAACCACAATTGAGTCCCAACTTTTGTGTTACTAAGTAAAATGGTTAAATAAGTTTTGCTCCATTTTACAGCCTTTCTTGCCACCATTGTTAAATGAATCACTGTAGTTGTTAAATTAGTAAGATGGTTGTTAAGTGAATCTGGCTTTCTCACTGACTGCTTGTCATGTCAGAAGGTTGCAAAAGGTGATCACCCAACCCTGAGACACTGCAACTATCATAAATGCAGGCCAGTTGTTAAAAATTTGAATTTTGAGAGTCAAGGACCCCCTGTATTGCCCATTGCAGGACTGATCATAGGCTTGATCCCACATCCCTAAGAATCATTCTAATATTGGTGACATTCTTCAATAATTTTCATTTCCATGTTTTTTTATCTAACCACTGATAAAATAGATCCCATATCCCATAAAATCGTTTATCTTCCTGTTCTCTAATTTCAAATGTCAATTTACTCATTTCAGCACATTCCATTATTTTATGAATAACTTCCTCCTGTGTTGGTGTTTTCTCATTCTTCCAGTTTTTAGCAAATGCAATTCTAGCTGCTGTTAACACATTTGCAATCAAGTATTTCAGTTCTGTATTGTATGTTTCTGGTATGATTCCCAACAAAAAGATCTCTGGTTTAAAGTCAATATGTTTTTGTATCATTTTTTCCAACCAAATATGGATTTTAGTCCAATATCTTTTAGCTTCTATGCAAGTCCACCACATATGGTAATATGAAATCGGTATCTGATGACATTTCTAACACTTTTCCGATTTATTCTTGAACATTCTTGCTATTCTCATCTGGGATAGATTCCACCTGTAAAACATCCTATACAAATTTTCTT